TTTGGCCTGGCGAGCCTTTCGCCTGGGAATGAAAAGCACATTCCATTATAGTAATAAATCAAAAACCTTTGTATTTTATCCAAATATCCATATCAGGGATGACAGACTGAGAACATTTTAGGGATCTGCAACTACAAGTTTGCACTATTTGAGGTCAAGCCATATTTAAAGTCTTCAACTATTTAGTTAAGGCAAAGGAAAGGCTGCAAATCTGTAAACTACTATTTGACAATTAAGTTGAACAAGGAGAGAGGGTTATTTTTATTATTTTAAAAAAAATTGCCATCAACCACACTCAGTCCCTCCAGCACTTGACAAACGCTTAAGACAGGTTCATGATAAAATGTAATTATTGCTAGCTTAACAAATAGAGACCAACACTACATGTTTTCTCTGCTTTTCCCTGTATGGCCTGATTCTGCACTACCAACAAAATTGTGAAAGTAATTTTAAAAAGCCAATTTCGAATGTTTGAAAATCATTGGTCCTTTTAAAGGTTTAAGTACTCAGTATATTGTACATGCATACATTTGGGTAATGTAGCTCAGATCAGAACCAGATTAAGACCAAAACAATAATACAATAGCCTATGATAGGTCAACTAAAGTCAGCACAGATAGGAAGATGATACAAGAATAACTCATAACTAGGAAACAATAAGATTTGTAAGTGTTAATATTGCACATTTTAACCTAAGTATTTCTAATACAAATACTCGGAAGTTATTTGATGGTCATCATTAGTCAGGACAGCAGCCAATAATACAACAGGATCATGTGAACCCATAACAGCTCATGTCTCAATTAGGTAAAAATACAAGTGCATCTTAATCTGTTTAAGTTTAATGTAGAATTTGCACATTCAGCAGATGAGGAAACATACGTGTGGGAACAAAATGGCTGGATTATAGTTCAAACAAAACAGATGTTTTAGTAGGGGACTGTTCTACTATGATGAGCTTAAATATTCATTTCCACAGCAGATATTCCACATCTGGAATTCTCTCCACAACCACTGTCCAATTAAAAACCTGCTTCCAGTTAGCAAATAAATGAATAACCTAATAAATCAGGAGCTGTGAAACTCGAATTGCAGACAAGCCTTGCTCTGCCGCAAATATTTTCCTACATATTAGCACATCTTTGGATGCTCCGTTCACATGTGTCCCTTTCTGACTCACCTGCGGACCTTCCTGGCAGGCTGGTTGAACCAGGTACGGACTCGTTTCTGCCAATCTTTGTGGAAATGAGGGTTCAGGATCATTCCATTCCGGCTGGGGGCCATGGTTGGCTAGTTCCCTGCAACACACGGAGATCAGCACAAATTCACACCGGCATGCTGTACGAGGCTAAGTGCTAAAGAGATAGCATTTAAACCAGGTCCAGCAAAGCAATGTTACATTTATCTTAAGAGTTCGCTTGTCCACGCGATATACCGTTTTCACGTTTAACGTATCGTTTACCTTATGTTAACCTCAAATGTTACATTTAAAATATAACAGAGGAATTACATAGGCAATGCTAACGGCTACCGATGGACCCATTGGTTGAGCTAAACACATTGTTTTTGACTCATCTAGGCACAAAGTCATGTCAATACCTATATCAACTTAAAGGTCGAAATCCGCACTATTTCAATCGGTAAACAGATTTGTCAGACTCTCTTTCAGAAAACAGGATTAGGATAGATTGTATGAAAAACTGACAGAATAAATTTTCGTACCTATGAGGGAGGAAAATGGCCGAAGGGAAAAAGGAAGTTGAAAGGCGGTGCGTGATGACATAAGGTAAAACCAGCCAATGGCAGATCAGATGGGTCATCAAAGAGTAGATGCATTCAAGAGCGTTCACCACATCACCACTAAAAGATACTTAAATTTACTACACATACTGAAATACATTTCTTAACATGTATTTTACTTTACATTTCTTCTGTCAAAACCTGTGTTATTTCAATTCTGATTTTATTTTCGCATCGTGCCCTGAGCCTTATTCTGTTTTAACAAATTCAGTTCATGAATGAGTTACAATTCCCTGTATTGCTTTAAAAAAGAAAACATATATGTTTCTCTATCAAAACACATGAAAGGGGGACATCAGTTCTTATCCTCCTTACAAGACTCATAGCAAATCAAATAGTGGTCTTTAATTTTAATCAATTTAAAGTAGTCTTCTTCTTTTTATTATTATTATTATTATTATTATTATTATTATTATTATTATTATTATTATTTTTATTTTATTTATTTTTTTGGTAGATGGTAACCAACTTAAGGTGCATTTATCACATTCTACCAGACTGGAGTGTTGTCATCAATAATGTTAATTTAAAGTAGTCAATTTCAACAAAGATAAATAAGGTCTTAAGTTTCTTTTATACACTATCAATCTTTTTTTAATTCAATATTCAAACTAAAAGATTTTCTTATTCATCTCTCTTTGTTATCTGAAAGATAAAAAAAAAGATAAAAATCTTAACCTCTGTTTAGCCTCAACAGTTGAGAAGCTAAACTTTAGAATTATTTTTTTTTAAATCTTATTTTCAGAACTGTTCAGAAATCCTTTGGTGTAATGTGTAGCCCATGTTTCTGTCTTGATTCCTGACAGAAACAAATTACCACATTAAAGATCCCAGGCTGTCCAAAACAGAGTGAATTATTTAGGTATTTCATTATGGAAAATAAGCAACAGCCTGCAAACATGGAATCAGTGAGAGAAATAGGCCAGACATTGTCTCAACCAAACCTAAGAAGCCTTGGCATTCTTTAAAAGTATCTGAACAAAAACTAAGTGTGGCTAAATCGTTTTCCTTAGTGAACTTTACATCCACTACAGCTATCTAGACTGCATCAGGGGAGGTGGTTGCCTTTTTCAGAGGTCTAAATAAAACGATATTTAGTATTCAGCAACAATAGCAGCAAAATAGTTGACAAAATCTTGAGCACCTGACTTTGAAAAATTTCACTGAAACCAATTTCTGTCTCACTGAATGTCTGTCAATCAATAAAACAGGTATTTTAGCTTTATATTTCTTATTTAGCCATAAAAAACAGAGGTTCAATCGTCGTACAGTATGTTCTAACTCTTGTGGCTTCAACAGTCACCACAGCACAACTCCTTTCTGCCATCTCATATCCTCAAAATTTTAATTTAAAAAATAATTAAATTTAATATCTCTAATTTTAAATAAAAATGATGTAGCTGTCACATCCTGTATAATTTCCATAGATAATAATTTTTCCATAAAAAATTACTCCTTTTCACAACCAAAACCAATTATCCTGCAGTCATGAAGTGGGTCGATTGCTGCATCAGTTGACCAATCTGAGTTGAGGGAAACTTGGGAGGATTATTTTGTCAAGTTTGTTTTTTAAGACATATTCTTTGACTGTTTTATACAACTGATCTGAAAATTTTAGAATATAATGACCCATTTCCTCAAGCATGTGCAGGGTTAATGATACACGGAGGTAGCTAAATAGGGGGTAAAAATGACTTCTACATTTTTGTGGAATTCTGTTTAGGGCCGGCTCTAGATTCGTCAGTGCCCAAGAAGGGATTGGTTCTTTGTAAACATTTTAAATGTTCACAAAAATATATATATATAAAAGTAATAACCTGAAGAAAACATGTATGTTGGAAGGATAGAACAATATTATAACAACCAACAACTTAAGATTGCATGAAAATATGTTGGATGCAAAAGCAAAAGCAACAAAAAGCTGTACTTTTGAAAGCCACACTCAAATACCCAGGGTTAGACAAAACGTTGAAAGGCAACAGCCCAAAAAAAAAAAAAAATTACTCAAAAGATGAGTACCCTGAGAATATTACAATTGCAAGTTTGCATCATGTCCAGCAGATGGCGCCCCAGGAGACTGCCTCTATCACCTTTTGGTAAACCTGACCCTGATAGTCACAGCAAAAGCTGACAAGGCGAGAAACAAGACTAGGCACTGAAAACAAGTCCAACTTTTTGATCAATAATAAGTTGCTGATGACAGCAGCCTAGCTAATGCCTCTTTACATGATGATGTCACAGCCAAAACCAAACATACTGGAGGAAATTGCTATGACAAGGAAAGGCAGAGAGAACATAAAATTAGGGATTGAATAAAAAAAAAACAGCAGAATGGGAGAATAAAGATAGAATAAAGCAAAATAATGAAAAGTTGTCCCTATGTCCTCCAACTGTCTAAGCCTATAGTAGCACAACTATAGAGATAGCTCGGGATAGCCAATGTAACTAAAAGCTTTATATTAAAAAAGAAAAGCTCTATAATGTCCTTGGGAAAACATTTTCTCATTTTCCAGATAATGTATAGTAAAAATAATCTGTATTATTTTTAAGCAGGGTTATTGTGGATACAAGAATATGAACATCAATGAAACAGAGTGGGTGATACACTAACAACAGGTCTGTAATGTATTTTAGTGCTAAGCCAACCTGTGTTTTGTAGACTAAGAGTAAGGACTTTAGAACTAGGGTGGTGGTGTACTCTTTTAGTTTTAGTGAGGGGGGTCTGAGGGTCTTTACTCTGTTGGTAAAGGCTGTTTTGACAGCTACAGAGCAATCAAGTTTATAATATGTTAATAAACGATATCTAGAAACCTAAAGAGATCTGCTGTTCTTTTATCATAGGGTCTAAAATCGTGAAACTTTTTTATTTTTTTTTTCTAAGCACAATTATTAAAAGTTCTAACAAAAAGTACCAAGTGCAGCTTTGGTCAATGGTTTCAGAATCACAGATTAATCATTGCTAAACTTGTTTAAGCAATCTCAGCCTATCTTTAACCAAGGGGAAAGGTCAAGGTGTGAAGAACTATAATAAGCAGAGACAGGCTGTATGCCCTGTCAGCACCCGTACAGCTTTGATCTGATGTGAGTATATCTGTGTGAAACATAATAAAAATGAAATAAAGATGATTATTGTTATGATTATAAAGATGTAATGTGAGGGGAAATGCAAGAGATTTATGGCACATGAAGTGATACTCACAAACTTCCAAATGTTTTATTCAATGAATTATAAACATAACGTTCTAGTGTTTTAACACATTTGCCTGCTATTAAAAATAGAGCAAAAATACTGACAGATTCTATGCACAAGAGCCCTTCAGATTTACTGGTGATGTAAAAAAAAAATGTACCTTTAACATGGAAAATGTTACAGGGTATTTAAAATTATAAAGCACACTTTCAAGTGTTCATAAAAGAAAGAAAAAAATACCACAAAGAATTCCAGTTAAATCTATCTGCTAATTCTTGACTGCAGTTATATAGCAAGTCATCTTAGTGAGATTTTTTTATTATTATTATTCTTCCAGTGATTTAATAAATTTATCATAAGCAGGTTGGTCCATGAGCTTTTCAAGTTCTTCAGGCTTTTCAATGGTCATCTTGATCAGCCATCCTGGGGAAAAAAATAAAAAATACATTTCTTTTCAGGAATGATTACAGAACATTACAGGAATGATAACAGAATGAGCATTGAGACTAACCGTCTGCATAGCAGGACTTATTGACAAGTCCTGGGTTCTCGGCTAGCTCCGTATTGATTGCTGTCACTTCCCCTGTTAACGGTGAGTACAGCTCACTGGCAGCCTTTACACTTTCCAAGGCACCAAACTCATCTGCAACACAAATTCACAAAGATAAAGCTTATCACACGACTATAAACTCTTACTACATGTGCAATATATCCCTGGATCTTACCCATTTGTTCAAGTCTTTGGCCGACCTCAGGAAGCCCGCAGTAAACCACATCACCTAAGGCTTCCTACAATGGAAAATGACATTGTGTTTAACAGCCACCTCATTTTGGGAAATTCTTGCCTATTTTGCATACCCAAATGGAAAAGCAAATAATTTAGGAGCTGTAAGCCAAAATTACATGTGCAATACATTATTTGAAAGCTAACAAGCTAAAGCTAAAGACATGCTTGAGAAAAGTTAGGTCTAATTGTATTACATTTTTTTTACATCATGCAAACCACAAATGCAGAACATTTCAGACCTCTAGCTACAACAGTTCCAGAGCTGTGGGGCTTTGACCTTTTGGTGTCATCAGCATCTCCAAACCTCTCCAAATGTGCCAAATGCTTTTACTATGCTTATCTTTACTATTTGACCCATAGAATAACACTGAAGCATTTTGATGGTCACAAAACATTTATGAAGTATTTTCCACTTCTTTTCAGAATCAGTGTATATAACAAAATGTAAAATTTCTACTCCTAAAATAACATAAAAAAATCTATATTTTAGCTTCTCAAGCTAAAATAAGCCCCAGTGCCTTTTCTGAGCTGTATTTTATTTTATTTTTCAGCCTTAAGCATTGTAATTAAACAAAATAAGCATCCAAACGGTCCAAAAAAATAGGACTGTTGTAATTACTCAGCTTGGAGCTGTGTGCATTGATCCATCCGCAGCTGTGTGTTCAACACTTAAGAAAGCTGGTAAAACGGATCTGCCTGTTAAAACCTCGCCATTTGTAGGCTTGTTTGAAACCTTTTTTCATTGGCTACAAAGCACAAAGGCCCACGTGGTCTTAACCAATAACAGCAGGACTCTATGAGGCATAATATCGCACTAATCAGTTCGTCACTGCCTGACAGGAAGTGACCAGAAGTGAGATTTCTGGGACTATATCTGCCTCAAATAGCGTCATAAAAAGATATAGACACTTTTGTCTTGTAGATAAGAAGACGTTGTAAAGAACCATACCAAACATTTTGGGCTAACAATTGAGAAAATAAGTATTAGGAAGTAAATATTAGATGCTAAGCATTAGCTATGACCAGCTAACTTTTCTGATGTCAACAACCAGATGTTATGGGCGATTTTCTCATCATGGAATATTTTTATTACGAATATGCTGGATTACTTTTAATCTGTGGACCCTTATGGACAAATGGAGTACAAACAATGGAAGATTGGATTTATAAAACTACATACTGTCACAGTCTTGGTTCTGTTATATTTTTCTTTTGAATATTCAGTTTTACTTTGCTCCATGTTTTCTAGTTTTAGTGTTTTAATTCTTATTTTGTTGTGTTTTCTGGTTGTTTTCAGGTTTTTGTTTTGTTGTCCTCTCCTGCCCTCTTGTGTTCTCCTTTTTCACTAGCTCCTTTCCTGTCTGCTCTGTTCACACCTGCTCCCAATCTGCTCGTTAGTCCTCTCTTTGCTTAGTCTCCCATAAATACACACTTTGTGCAGTTCCTCAGTGCTGGTTCCTCATCTAACTTCCTCAATCTCCATCTCTCTGAGTCTTCCTCATCGAGATTGTTTTTTTCCCCCCTGATGTCTCTATGGTTTCTGGTTTGTTTGACTTTTTACATGTTTGACTTTTTGGATTTTTCGATTCCTGCCTTTGTTGTCTGTTAACAGTTCATTAAATCATCAAGAAACTCACCTCTGCCTCCCTGCCTCTGCATTTGGGTCCTCAAACCACAACCAAATCCTGACACATACATATTATCAAATGTATGTACCGGTAGTTGTAGCTGCTTTGTCATGTTTACATTTTGACATGCTGCTATATCTGTGTTAATTGTGCTTTTGCACTCACTGTGTCCATAAAATCATCTAGGTGGTTGTATTGTGGAGAATCTAAGCTTTCCAACGATGTCTAACATGTCTATATTGGTAAACATTTTACCGGTGGAATTTTATTAGTTATTAGTTGTAAACGTGTTGCACCGGGTTGCTGGCTATCCAGTGGATATAAGAGGATACATTTTTATTTTATTTTACTAATTTCTAATTTTGTGATATTAAAAACACATACCTCAATGCATTTTATAAGGATTTATTTCTCACGATGAAAATAAAATAACATTTAATGGTGACAAGGAGAACATTTTCCTCTTTTTAAATGCAGTTCTGAAAACTGAGGGTTTGTCCTTAAATAAAACCCAGTGAAACCAGTATGCCACAGCTCTGAACCTACATTTAGGCTTCACTCCATCTCCATGCAACACACTATCTCCTGAAAGATACTGGAGACAGCATAATGGTATGAAAATGTTTTTGTTTTTTTACATGAACAAGGAATTGACAGAGCTGTTAGAAGGAGGGTAATACTGGAAAACCAAAGTAGTAAACCGGTTAGAAACGGCAAAGGACTATAACCCTAAACACATAAACAGACCTTTAATGAATTTCCAGCGTTTACATATGTTGGAGAGAACCAGAATTGAATGGCGAGGGGTAGACTTCACAAATATGCAATATGAAAAACTTAAAAATCGATAACTGAAGCAAACACAGCCTACCCTTCAAAAGACTGCAATCTAAAATTACAGCAAAATATAGTTATATGAATTACAGATTCAATGGAGCTAAATAGGTACACAAACAGCTCTTTAGATTTTTATTTGTAGAACACTTGCAATAATTATACATTTTCCCCAACACTTAAGAAATAATGTCACAAAAGTGTAAATTATATAGACCCAAAACATAATTACACACAGCTGGTGGAGGTGTTCATGGTGGTGTGTTCTTTGTGAGAAACATTATTAGCTGTCCACCAGACATAATATTTTACAAGTAGAGAAAAAAAAAAAAAAAAAAAAAA